AGGCCCAGGACCCCCCGCCTGTTGCACCGAGCCAGGAGCCCGACCGCGCAGCTGACGCCTCGAGAGAGGACTCGTGTAGTCCGAGACCCGGGCAGCAGAGCGCCCGAAGGGCGTGGAGAGGCCTGGCGAGGCCCTCCGGAAAGACCTGGAAGGAGCGTCCGAAGGACCTTCTGGAGAGCTTCCGGGCACGCGAACTGGGAAACGCTCAGGAAAGGCCCCTCGGGACACGCTGGAAGGTCCAGCAAGCCGCTCCGGGGAGCCCTGCCCGCCGCCGAAACGAGCTCAGGGGCCACCCTGCGGCCGGGCGGCCGACGCCTCGAGAGAGGAGTTTCCTCGGGGGCGTCGAGGCGGGGACCAGGCCGTGGAAGGCGGGGGGGGTCACAGTTTCTTCAAACTCCCCGAGGCGGAGGACGGACCTGCCCCGCCCCTCTGTTGTGCAACCTGCGGAGGCTACCGCGACGGCCTCTGCGGGTGCCCGCAGGGACCAGGCCGTGGAAGGCGGGGGGCCGCTGTCTCCTCGAGCTCCCCGAGGCGGAGGACGGATAATCCCCCGCCCCTCTGTTGTTCGACCGGCGCAGGAAGGCTGCGCGACGGCCTCTGCGGGTGCCCGGGGTCTCCATGACGAACGAGCAACACACACACCCATACCCACAGGGGGGTCGTTGAGAGGAGGACTGGCTATGGGTATGGGTGCGTGTTGTCGGACCCTGGGGAACGCTCCCGTTCGAGCGGGGACCCCCATCCGACAACACGCACCCATAGCCCTCTCCGACCCCCCTATGGGTATGGGTGTGTGTTGTTGGTTCGTCGTCTCCATGATCTGTGTGCCGGTTCGGCCCGCTCCAGTGCAGGAGCTGGCCCCAAAAGGTCGCCCAGCCCTTCCAGGCTGCAGCACCCGGACCGGGGACGCAGGCTGGGACCTGCGAAAGCTCCGGGGGCCCAGGCGATCGGTCGTTTCGGCTCCCGGCTCCCTGACGTCGGGCTGGGGCCTCCGCCGAGGGTGCCCGGGGCTTGGAGGGCCCCCCCAGGTTTCGGGTGCCGCCAATCTCTGTCTCTCGGGCTGCCGTGAGCCGTTTGGGGCTCCACGAGGGTGAAGCTCGAGAGGTGGGCAGGCGTTTCAGAGCTGGGGAACCCGAAGACCAGCTGGACGATGATGGCGTGTTTCCTGAGGAGGCCCTGTCGCTGGCCCAAGGTGCGCAGCCTATTCAAAGCCGCGCCGTTGTGATAAGAACGTCCTCTCCGTTGGGCCCCCTTTGGGTTTTTGGACTCCCTCTCTCTCTCTCTCTCTCTTTCTTCCCCTCAGTGGCGTGCAATTCTCCTCCTCTTCCTCCTCCTCCTCCTCCTCCTTCTCCTCCTCCTCCATTCCTTCTCCTTCTGAATAACTCCTCCCTGTCCCACCCCGGGGCCAGTCAGAAGGGTGGGCCGGGCGTTTCGTCTAAGACTTCCTTACCTTTTATCAGCTTCAAGCGTAAAGACTGGCAACAATTTCACACATGGAAGGCGAGTGGCTTCCAAGATGTGGCTATCGCCTTAGCACCGCGCACATTCGTTTCAAACAATTGCAGAGGTTCCACGGATTGAAGGTGGGTGGTCTTCAAAATGTGGCTCTCGCCTTAGCGCCACGCACACGCGTCTTACACATTTGTAAGAGCTTCACGGATGAAGGGCGGGTCGTTTTCAAAAATGTTGCTCTCGCCTTAGCGCCGCGAACATTCGTTCCAACAAATCAAGAGCTTCACGGAGTGAAGGCGGGTCGTTTCTGTTGCTCTCGTTTCCAACACTTACGTAGATTCGCGGCATTGACGTCCCAGGAATGGCGTTCTGTTACGATTCAGGATCGTCAAGACGCAACAGTCAGGGTAACTCGTGGCGTTGAAGTACTGAGACTGGTGTTTGGGCACGCTTCAGGATTTGCACACTGTTGTCTCCCAACGGGGCACTGCCCTCAGTGGAAATGAATCATCCCGGGTACCTATGAAGAGGGGGCTTGGAGAAAGGGTGTATTCCAACAACGTTGATGGGCCTTGGGTTTACACCGGTCGTCCTCCTGCTCCTCCTCCTCCTCCTCCTCCTCCTCCTCCTCCTCCTCCTCCTCCTCCTCCTCCTCCTCCTCCTCCTCCTCCTCCTCCTCCTCCGCCTCCCTCCTCCGCCTCCCTTCTCCTGCTGCTGCTGCCCCCCTGCTGCTCCCGTGCTGCTCCCCTGCTCCTCGCCCTGCTCCTGCTCCTGCTCCTGCTCCCGCCCCTCGTTCCTCCGCCCGCCCGCTGCCCCCTCCTTCCCCATCGCACGACGGGAGAGGACCCGCCGCCGCTCTCGCTTCTTGGGCGACCCGCTGCCCGCTTCACATCTTCCGGTATGGGGCGGCGCTCCGGGGTACTCCAGATTTCGTGATAAAGGGAGGGGGGTCTCATTTCGGGGGGGGGTCTCTTCCAGGCTATCTTGGAGGGCCTGGAAGGTTCTGGGGACGATGTTTTGGAGGGTTCTCCCACGGGGGGGGGTCTAAAACTTCTCGTCTTGGAGGGTCCAGACCCCCTCCCTTTTATTACGAAATCTGGGGTACCCATCGGGAGCCTGGCCTGCCCCGCCGGCCGACGACGCTGCGGCTGATCGGATCTACGTGGGGGAGCTGGCCTGTCGCGGTCCACTGCCCCACGGATGGAAATGCGGTCAAGAAATTCATCATTCAAAGAACCTGGACAACAACTCATTCAAGAAATGCATCTTTCAAGAAACTCATCGATCATGAAATTCATCATTCGTAACATGCATCAGCCTTCCGGACATGTCTTGACACAACCCTAGGCCTATGTCTGTTGGTAACTCTGGAGGGGCGAACGTGCTCAAGAATCTGGACCAACGTGCCGACAGGTCGGTCACGAAGCGCTGGCCCAGCCTTTCGGCAGGGGGGCTCTTGACCAGATGCTCGACTGCACTTCACGCGTGCGCTACGCTGCCGTCCTCGACTGCGCTGCTGCATGCTCGCTCGCCCCCCGGCCCTGACCAGGGGGAGGAGGACGGCCCTGGAGCCGGGGCCCCCGCCCGCGAGCGGCGGCCCCCGCAAGGCTGCTGCCACGGGAGGTGGCAGCGGCGGCGGCTGCGGCGGCGGCGACGACGGCGAATACGACGACGGCGGCGACGACGACGACGGCGACGACGACGACGACGACGGCGACGACGACGACGACGGCGACGACGACGACGACGACGACGGCGGCGGAGGCGGCGACGACGGCGACGACGGCGACGGCGGCGGCGGCGGCGGAGGCGGCGACGACGACGACGACGACGAGGACGGCGGCGGCGGCGGCGGCGGCAGCGACGACGGTCCTGGAGGCGGCCCCCGCCTCTGGCGCCTGGCCGCGGCCCTCGGAGGGCTCTCCGGGGGGCTGCTGCCACGGCTCCGCGTGGGGCTGCTGCCACAGCAGGCGGCAGAGAGGCTCCCCGACGCTGGGGGGCAGCTCCTGTGGCCGAGGGGGACGAGAAGGATAGGCCTCCTCCTCCTCCTCCTCCTCCTCCTCCTCCTCCTCCTCCTCCTCCTCCTCCTCCTCCTCCTCCTCCTCCTCCTCCATCCTCCTCCTCCTCCTCCTCCCTCCTCCTCCTCTCCTCCTCCTCCTCCTCCTCCTCCTCCTCCTCCTCCTCCTCCTCCTCCTCCTCCTCTCCTCCTCCTCCTCCTCCTCCTCCTCCTCCTCTCCTCCTCCTCCTCCTCCTCCTCCTCCTCCTCCTCCTCCTCCTCCTCCTCCTCCTCCTCCTCCTCTCCTCCTCCTCCTCCTCCTCCTCCTCCTCCTCCTCCTCCTCCTCCTCCTCCTCCTCCCTCCTAGGACAGCACAGGGCAGGGTAGAGAATCAGCTCACGTCGCCGGTTTTCCTGGGGCCCCCAAGCGCCGGGAGGCGCCCATGTATGGAGAACTGGGCCCGGCGGCGGGGCGGAGGCCAGCTGCACGCAACAGAGTTCGTAACCTCCGCTTTCCCCAGCGGCGAGCCCGGGGGAGAGTGAGAAGGGACGGGCCTTCTCAGAAGACTCGGAAGTCCCCTGGCCTTCTGAGAAGTTTCCTGAGCCTTCCCGGGAGACACAGAAAACTCCTCGGAAGGCGCGAGGGCTTCTGAGAAGTCCCGCCGTCTTCTGAGCAGGCATTCTCCTTCTCGCTTCCCCCCCTCACGGCTACGCGCAAGGGTGAACTTAAGGAAGAGTGACCTTTGGTGCGCGGACCAAGGGGGCGAAAGGCGGCCAGATCCAAGCGCGCAAGCAGCCGCGACAGCATCGCGCTCAGCAGCCGTGGGGACCCCGATGAGCCCGCACCAAAGGTCAATCTGGCGAAGGGTCACTCTTACGCGTGGTCGACCCTCTCCCGCCGCCGAAATTTCGTCCGGCCCGAGCAAACGGGGTGCCGCGACGGGGGCGGCCAAGCTGCGAGGCGGGGATGGCTCCATCACGACCGCCTGGGCGATCGACCGTCGGGGCCCTCAGAGCAGACAGCGAGAGAACGGACACGGCTGCCGCCCCCAAAGCACGCGAAGGTGTCCAGAGGCCCACGAGCGCGGCCCGACGAGGCCCCCACGAAGCATCCCCGTGAGGACTCTGCCCCACGTCGGCGTCATCGTCGTCGCCGACGCCGCCGTCGTGGTCGTCGCCCGCCATTCAGGGTCGGCGGCACCGGCCCTGAGGCCTTCGCAATATATCATTTTATCCATATCCACCGCCTGCTGAGGTCCCCAACGCTCGATCTACCAGGCGGTGATGATGGCCGCCTCGGACGAGGAGAGAGTCTCGTTACACGGCCATTCCCGGTTTCCCCCGACGGCTTCTTCGAAGTTCCCCCCTTTGTGCGCGCTACCAGTCCTGGCCGTCCCTGGAGCGCCGGACCTGGGGGAGCACGAGACGCCATGGGCAAGAACGTTCGGAGGTCCCCGTGGGTTTCTTGGGCCGGTGCTGGATACCCTTCCCAACCCCCTGGGCGGCGCCTCCAGAGCCGCCCCGGCGCGCTCTGCGCGCCAGGGAGGGAGTAACTACGAAGACGGGGAGCGCCGACCCCAGGAAGTCGAGCGAACCTCCGAAAGCGTATACATGTGCGTCGTCTTTCGTCCTTGGAGGACCGGGAGATCGGCATCACGCGGGTTCTTGATGTGGTCGGCACGCGACTGGCCCATCGCGCACCGCTTGATCCAGTGTACGCGGAAGTTGGGGCCGATCCGGTAGCTCCCGTTCTCCTCCCAGATGCCCGAGAGCAGCCTGTTTTCGGGGATGCACAGAAGCCCCTTTATTAGTAAAACGCGGTTTAGTGAAAACCACCTCGGGCCCAAACCTGGCGGGCGCAAGCCTGGAAAATGACGGCCGCGGCGCCCTCTCGAGAGCCGAAAACGGACAAGTCACGAGTCGGCGTCTCAGGGTGGGGGTTCTGTCCACCCCCGACCTGTCTTCGGGCTCGGAGGACATTCTGGCGTACCCGTGAAATTGTCGGCTCTCGGCGGCGGCGAAGATCAGCACGACGTGGTCCACGTCGCGGAAGGCCAGCTCGAGCCTCGGCGTGGCCTCGTGGCTGACGGCCCAGACCCCCTTGGACATGGAGGTCCGTATGCTCTTGATCTTCGTCGAGCGCACCAGAAAGTAGCGGCACTCCCCGTGGATGGGGCTCGGCAGGCCGGGCACGGGCCCCTGATCGACGGCAGCGGTGTCCGTGTCTGGAGGTAGGAAAGGGGTATGGTACAAAGGGGGCGTGGTGCTGAGTTGATGTAAAGGGGGATCTGGCGCTGATATCTGTCGCAGAGAGCATCGCAGCATCGCCATCTCCACGATTGGCACCATACCCCTTGATGCCACACCCCTTTCCGACCTCCAGACTGTGGTGGGGCTGCCGCTGCGCGGGCTCTCTGGGCCAGCACCCTGGCGCGCCTCGGAGAGCTCGGCCCACATCGCCTATGCAGAAAGGCACCTGCACAGCACTGCCATGCCTGGCCAGGGCCGTCCGGGGCGCTGGCATGGTGTACGTGCCCTCCTGGCCGAAGCCCTGCGGCCCAGGCTGGCCCTGGCCAGGCATGGCAGTAATGTATGCGTGCCTTCCGCGCTTCGCCTTGCTGGCCTGGGGCACCAGGTGCGGGTTGAGCAGCAGCGAGTCGATGAAGGAATCGGGCAGCAGCACGGGCCGCTGCTCCGGTGGCAAGCGGTCGTGCCGGCCGCGGCACAGCTTGCCCCGGGGGCAGAAGCCCAGCCGGTAGCTCTCGCAAAGGGGCCGCTCGCTGGGGTCGACGTGCCGGAAGATGCAGAACGGATCCGTGCAACTGAGGAGGACGATACACCCACACCGACCCCGGGTCCATCCCTGGCCCATGATGGGCCTGGCCAGGATCGGTGTGGGTGCACAGTTGGCGTCCTCCGACACCTGCCGAACTTCCGCCACGAGGAGCACTCGGGCATCTTGCGGGAGTCCCACGCGTGCAGGAAGGAGCACCGGTCCCCCCTCATGCACAGGCCCTTGAGCCAGTGCCTGCACACCTCCCGGCCCGTGCCGCTCCTGGAGCCGTGGCCAGACTCCTCAAGGCGCGCCCTGCGAAGGGCGTCCTTCGCCTCGACCTCCAGCTCGAAGTCGAACGAGAGCTCCCCCCTCGCCGCGGCGGGGGCCCTGGGGAGGGGAGGTAAGGGGGAGGGAGGGAGGATCGAGGAGGACCAAGGAGAAGGACAACGAAGACGACCAAGACGCCGACCACGACGACCACTACGACGCCCACGAAGACAACCACGACGACGACCACAACGAAAACGACGACGACGACGACGACCACGATGATGATGACCACGACCACGACGACAACCACGACGACGACCACGACGATTCCATGCACGACCACGACCACGACGATCACGACCACGAACGACGACCACGACGATTACACCCACGACCACGACTACGACGATCACGACCACGACCACGACCACGCCCACGACGACCACGACAACGACCGATGCGGGTCCGACAATCAGCTGGCACCGCGGCGGCCGCCGAGGAGGCGGGGCGCACCAAGCCCATCGGGACGAAGGCCGCCAGGGGGGGGGGAACGGAAGAGCGATGGGGGGGGACAGGGACGGAGGCAACGGGAGGAGGAAGGAAGGAAGCGGCGGAGCTAGGAGATGGGAGCGGGGAGGAAAAGGAGGAGGAGATAGGAGGAGGGAGGAGGAGAGAGGACGAGAACGGGGACGAAGGCGAGGACGAGGACGAGGGAGGCAGGAGAGGGGCAGGGATGGAGGAGGAGAAGGAGGAGCAGCAGCAGCAGCAGCAGCAGGAGGATGAGCGAGGAGTGGCAAAGACGAGGACGAGCAGGGCCCTCCCTCCCCCACGGCCCGAGCGCTTCGTGGCCTGAGCCGAAGCGGCCAGCCGCGCCGCGGCGGCCTCGCGCGCTCGCGCTTGCCCTGCGCGGCGTCCTGCCTTCGCCCTACGCTGCGCCTCCGAGCGCGCACGAGCCCTCCTCCTCCATTCCATCCCTCCTCCCCCCTCCCTGCTACCCCCTCCCACCCTCCTCCTCGCTCCCCCTCCCTCCTCCCTCATCCCTCCTCCTGCCCCGACGCCAAGGGGTAAGGGCCGAAGGCGAGAAAACTGGCGACGACGACGACGACGACGACGACGACAACGACGACGACGACGACGACGACGACGACGACGACGACAACGGCAACGACAACGACAACGACGCCGACGACGACGACGACGACGACGACGACGACGAGGACGACGACGACGACGACGACGACGACGACGACGACGTTGACGACGACGACGACGACCACGACGACGACGACGACGACGACGACGACCACGACGACGACGACGACGACGACGACGACGACGACGACGACGACGACGACGACGACGACGACGACGACGACGACGACGACGACGACTACGACGACGACGCGCGCGCGGGGGCCGCGCCGCGCCGCGCCGCGCGCCTGGGTGGCGCACGGCGGAGGCCAGGCAGGCCCCGAGGTGGGGCAGGCAGCGGTGCACCGTGCCGGCGGCGCCTCGGCGGGGGGCGGCCAGGCAGGTTGAGGATCGAGGATCGAGGATCGAGGATCGAGGATCGAGGGGATCGAGGGGATCGAGGGGATCGAGGATCGAGGATTGAGGGGATCGAGGGGATCGAGGATCGAGGGGATCGAGGGGATCGAGGGGATCGAGGATCGAGGGGATCGAGGATCGAGGGGATCGAGGATCGAGGGGATCGAGGGGATCGAGGGGATCGAGGGGTTCGAGGGGATCGAGGATCGAGGGGATCGAGGGGTTCGAGGGGATCGAGGGGATCAAGAGAATCAAGAACCGAGGGGATCGAGGGGATCGAGGATCGAGGTCCAAGAATCGGGGGCCTTCGGACGTTCTTGATCCCTGTCGAGGTCCGGAGGCCTCACGTCGCGACGGCTGCTGACCCGTCGGAATTCTGGTCCAAGCGCACCCCTGCAGAAGTTCGGGGGCCCATTCTTGGGGCGGTCCTGCGCGCTGAGGGGGCCCCCCGGGGTGGGGCAGGCATCGGCGCTCTGTGCCGGCGAAGGCTCGACGGGGAGGCAGGGGCAGGGAGGTTCGAGGATCGTTCGACGACGATCGGGGGAAGGAAAGGAGGCCTCCCTCGAGAGAAACATCCAAACCAACCTTGTGCATGAAGACCACTAAGAGTCATGAACAAACGACTGACAAGGAAAAAGCATGCTCATGCAAATTCATGCGTTCTGCATGTGTCCGGCTACGACGCACACGACGACGGCGACGACGACGACGACGACGACGGGGAAGGGAAAGGAGGAGAAGGAGGAGCAGGAAGGGGAATGAGCAGGGGAGGGAGGGAGGAGGGAGGGAGGAGGGAGGAAGGCAGAGAGGAGGAAGGTCAGCAGGAGAAGCAAGAGGGAACGGGCTTCACACTCCTCCTCCTCCCCCTCCACTTCCATCCGTCTTCCTTCTCACAAAACTGACCCCTGTCGCACTACCAGGCGTGTCGCTAAGGCGGGCCAGGCGATTTGCCTTGAGAGTTCCTCACCATTTGCGATGTTGAAGTTTGACGTTTCCAACAGTTCAACGGACGGAGGATCGATTTCAAAAAAGGGCCCTCGTCTTGGCGGCGCGCTCATTCGTCTTCAAACTTCCGAACAGCTTCACGAAATAAGGGCGGGTAGTTTTCAAAGTGGGACTCCCCCCACAGACAGTTACACTGACGAAGGCGGGTCGTTTCCAAAATGGGACTCTCGCCTTGGCGCCACGCTCATCCACTTGTACATGGATGGATGCCGGATCCTGTTCAAGTTGGGAATATCGCCTGAGAGCTCTTCGACAAAGATATGAGCCAGCGTGGACCCCGAACGGTGTTTCTAGCAGTCTATGTCGTGCTATCTTTGCGGAGCAATCTATGTGGCGCGAACTACGTAAAGCAATATATGTGATGCACAATATGTGGTGTACTCAAGACTGTTTACGAGCAAATGCGCCTGAATCCTCCTCCACAGTTCTCTGCGCACGGCCCGACTTCCTTGTCCTACTGGTAAAACACGGACGCTCCTTTTCCACGATTCATTGCAACCCCTGTTTTCCTGACGGCCCCTGCTAAAATCTCCATCGCCCTCACCGCGGCCTCCTGCAGCATGCTAGCCTGAGTGCGTTCTCATACCTCGTTAAAGTAAGGGTAGGTCGGGCATGTCCTCTGACAGGCGGACTGTGGAAGGAAAAAACAAACATTCTTTTAAAAAAATGCTCACGGATAGTCAAAAGAGCACGACACATCGTCACCAGACTATTTTTGACTAGTCCCGAATATTCCTCCTGTAGAGGGGCACGATCGACTTAACATTAAGGTCGTCTACAAAAAGGCTGATGGCCTGATATTTGTTTTCTCCGTCCTGCTGAACAACGGAATCTTCTGGGGATATCCCAAACGAGGCCATCAGCTTCGAACGCGCTCTGCATTACTGCCACCACTGGAGCGGACCAACCATTAAACGCGTCCGTTGCCATGATGGTCCCTGGTTTACTGCATACAAACGGCCTTTTGTACCCTTGGGCCCCCCTGCAGTTCCGGAACCAGTGATTCTGACAGCCAGCGATAGGTTGGCGGACCTGTTCACGGCTCATGTGGTGATCCAGGAGTCCCTGCGGGGCAAGGTTGGCAATGTCATACTGTAGCGCTGGGCGCAGCGCTTGCGATCCCATGAGGTCCAGCAAGTCTCCGCTATCTGGGGGGCGATGCTATCACGTGCTGGCGGACGAGAAAAGTAACATGCAGGTTCCAAATCCATGAAACATCGCAACGGAAGACACACTTGCCGCGCTCTGTGCTGCGAGTCCGGCGAGCAGGCAGCGACTGGCATAACTAGTCTGTGCCTGTGCAGGCTCGCCCTCCGAACTGGGTCTCGTGCAGCACCCGTGGCACGAGGCTCGTTCAGCGGCTCCTGAGCTGTTCGTGATACAACCTGCTGGAGTAGGTGGCGAGAGTGATGCTCCTACGTGTCCCCGCTTTGGTGGTGGTGCCCTTTTCTGTCCCTGGGGCAGGGCAACAAGAACACTCCGCTTGAAAGCATTAGCCTCCTTGCACAGCACACCGGCTTTCACAAGAAAAGAATGCAATATCCTCGCCGCTGGTCCCGGGGCAGCTCTCGTCCTCCTCATTGTCCTCCTCCGCTATCCCTCTTTTTCTTATAAGCAACTTCTCCCTGTCGCACCCCTAGACGTGTTGGTAGGGCGGGCCGGGCGGTTCGCCTAAGAGTTCCCCACCACGTATGACCCTGAAGCTTGAAATGTGCAAGACCTTCACGCATGGAGGGCTGGCCGGTTCAAAAATCTGGCTCTCGCTTTAGCGCCGCGCACATTCGTTTCAAATGTTCGCAGCACCTTCACGAATGGAGGGCGGATCCTTGTTGAAATGTGGCTCTCGCCACAGCACCGCGCACATTCGTTTTGAAAGTTTGCCACATCTGCACGGATTGAGAGCGACCCCTTTTAAAAGAGTCCTTCTCGCCGTAGCGCCCCGCACATTCGTTTTCAAAATTTGCTAAAGTTTCAAGGATTCGTAATCCCAGGAATCGTGTTCTGGCACGAGTTAGGGCTGCCAGGACGCATTAGTCACGTTGATTCGCTGTGTTGAAGTCCCAGGAGCAGCATTCTTGCACGATTCAAAAGTGTTAGGACGCAGTAGTCACGTTGACTTGCGGCGCTGAAGTCCAGGACCTGGGTTTCGGCACGAATGAGAATTCTCTTAAGGTTGTCTTTCCATGGGGCACTTCCCGCAATGAATACAAACTCTTGTAGAGACTGCTGAAGGGTAAACTCGGAGGGAGGGTTGATTGCAACATTGCTGATGCGTCTTATGTTTAAACTAGTGCTCCTCCTCCTCATCATCATCACCCTCCTCATCTTTTCAGGCCTTTGAGTATAGGCCCAATGTCTCCGAAAAGGCGCGGCCGTTGCCCATCCTTCTTCTCCTCCTCTCCTGCTCTCCTGCTCTTCCTTCTCCTTCTCCTTCTCCCCATCCCTCCTCCTCCTCCTTCTCCTCCGCCCATCCGTCTTCTCCTTCTCCTCCTCTCCTGCTCTTCCTTCTCCTCCTCCTCCTCCCCATCCCTCCTCCTCCTCCTCCTCCTCCCCATCCCCCAATCCCTCCTCCCAAGGGCCTCCGGGGAGGCGGTCCAGCGTCGCCCGCTGGGCGGGCGCCAGCGTCCGTACCTGCGCGGTCCACAGGCCTGGCGGGGCGGGGAGGAAGGGAGGGAGGGAGGGAGACGGAGGAGAAGGAGAAGGAGGAGAAAAAGGAGGCGGAGGAGGAGAAGGGTAGGAGGGAGGAGGAGGAGGAGGAGGAGGAGGAGGAGGAGGAAGACGGAGGAGGATGGAGGGGAAGGAGGTGGGGGAGAGGGAGGAGGGGGAGGGAGACAGAGGAGGGCGAGGCCTGGCTGGGCGGAGGGAGGGGAAGGAGGAGGAGGAGGAGGGGCAGGGGAGGAGAAAGGAGGATGCGTCCTCCAGAGACTTGATGTCTCTCACCTTTTTGTGGCCGCCTGAAAGGTCGAAGGGATGACGGAGGAAGCGGTCGCAACGCTCGAGGACTTATCCGCACACTTATCTGGGTGCGTCCCCGTAGAGTAGACGGCCACCTCAGTGAGAAGGTCTGCAGCTCGCCCTCGGCAGAGACGAATCCAACGTTAGGGTATCCATGCAGACAGCGTGTTCGGCGCCCGGCCGCGCGTTGCATGTCATGCCCGACTCAAGACAGATGCCGCCATGCTTCCTCTTCATGGCGAGTCTCCACGCTGGCGTTGTTCACTGCCAGCCCCATGACCTCGTTCATCTCGTTCTCGTTGACGTGGAGATTCGCATTCGCAGATGTCGCGGCGGTGGCCTAGCTACGTCTCCTACTTCTGCTGCGTCTTTTGCGTTCGGAAGGGATTCGCAGAGTCAGGCTGCGGCTCCAACGATCGAGTGCTTTCCGCGATTCGCGGCTGGGACTCCTCGGCGCGTGCCGCGGTACCGCGGCCGCGATGGTCTCCTCGGGTGCCGCTGTGTGGTCCGTGACGTTGGCAGCTCTCAGCGCAGCATTGGAGCCCTCCTTCTCGAGGCAGCCAGCGTCCTCTCGACCCCGCGGCACTGTGCATACTGTTCGGCATGGCACCCGTCATTGAGAAAAGGTCGGCGGCTGCATTCAGCAGCGTCCTACAAGATGGTGCCGGTCAGCGTTACGCTGTCCTCTAGAGAACTCGCGGGCGAGGCATGCTTCAACTGAGTCTCAGATCCTTCCCATCCAGTTTCGGAGGCACAGCACCATGAGGCTTCTTCAACCTAATGTTTGGCAGCTTCGTGAATCTGTTTGGCTCAGGCAGTTGGGCAAAATCGATGGCATACTTCCAAGCCTCGGTCCCCGAGTTGCCCAGCTGCCTCTTGTCAAATATGGGCATGCTGTCCAACGCAACCTGCCAAATGCACAATAGACCCCATGGCGTTGACAGCAGTCCGGTCCACGACGCACGTGGAGGCCGCCTTCGCAAGTCACGACGAGTGCGCCACGAAGCCATGGCAGAGGAGGCTCGCGCAAACCCGCCGTGCCCCCCGGGCAGTGGCAGAGCTGTGTCTCGGGCCTCGAGGGCCTGGCGCAATGGGGTCCAAGGCGGCCGACTGCGGGCGGCACGTCCCAGGAAATCTGGCACCTGGCGACTGCGTTGCCTTGGTACACGGCGGCGAGTGCAGAGCAGCTGCGGCAAGGAGCACCACCTCGCCCTCGCTCGGACGTCCACTCCCCGTGCATCGCTCGATGTCGTGCGCCTCCCTGTCGTGCAAAGGATCCAATCTGCTCCTCGACGGACCTGGCCGAACCCCCCCCCAAAAAAAGCACACGCCCGAGCGGTGCAAAAGACCAGAGAGCAGGGGGGAGTGGGGGCGTCGACGGCGGCGGGCGAACAACGGTTGCCCCGAGGCCGAGACCGCTCTTCTCGAGGGCTGGGCGGGCCCGGAGGCCGCAGAGGTGGCCACGCGCTCCCGCCAGGAGCAGGCGGGGATGGCTGGCGGCGCCGCGAGGCGGGCAAGAGAGGCAGGCAGGCTTGGGCGCCGACGTGCCACGATTGCGTGGAGCATACTGGATCCTGTCACGACAAGGAGGCGCGCGACATCGAGCGATGCACGGGAAGTGGGCGTCCGAGCGAGGGCGAGTGGTGCTCCTTGCCGCAGCTGCTCTGCACTCGCCGCCGTGTACCTACGATCGCGTTCGAGACCTCAGACTGGAATCGCGCTACCGAATACGAACGAGTAAGACTCGGCCAAGACCGCACGTGCAAGAACGGCTAACAGAAGGATGAGATGAAGGAGGGGGAGGAGGAGGAGGAGGAGGAGGAGGAGGAGGAGGAGGAGGAGGAGGAGGAGGAGGCAGAGGCAGAGGCAGAGGTGGAGGAGGAGCGCTCGCAGTCGGCAAGCCCTGTTCGAATAGTCACCGCGGGCGGTGGTGGGTCGCTGGCCATTCAGAGCAGCCCGAATACATGCTAACGCGCGCAGTGTCGGCGATGTCGCCGAGAAAACCGGAGGCAGCGACGATTCGAAGGAGGGAAAGACGATGAGGAGGAGGGGAGAGCTTACAAGTCCCTCCCTCCCTCTTCCCTCGCGACCTTCCCCATCTCCTCGCCCCTCCAGCCCAATTCCCAACAGAGTAGTCTTCCCGCTGCAGCGTGGGCCTCGATTTCGGATCGGCGCTTTGCTCATATCGTTCGGAATGGCGCTCTCGTCTCAGCGCTGGCCACCTTTCTGGATCCGAGCCCTTTTTTATCGTTGTCGTCTCCCTCAATTCCCCTCCTACGCCTTCCTCTGGTCCTCCTGCTCCTCCCGCTCCTTCCGCTTCAGCTCCTGCTGCTGCTGTTCGTCCTCGTCCTCCTCCTTCCTTGTCCTCCTTCTCCTCCTGCTCATCCGCCACCTCCTCCTCCAATGTTCGCAGCCTTTCTTCCCGATTGTGCATGACACGATGGAGTCCTCTTTGGAATTCCGGGTCCGCTAGGACAAGCATCGGCGTATTTATAGAGAGAGAGAGAGAGAAATAGAAACAACGCAATTGGAAAATATGGGTGGTAGGGAAAACGATGTCAGATATGGCGCGAGCGCGCCTACCTTGCGGTTCCCCCCTCCTTCCTCCTCTCCCCCCGTCACCCTCCCTCATCCTACTCGCTCCTCCTACCCTCTCTCTCTCTCTCTCCTTCCTTCCATCCTCTCTCTCTCTCTCTCTCTCTCTCTCTCCTCCTTCACGTCATCAATGAACCATGCTCTCTCCCAGCCTTGCTCCGACCATCCTCCACAAGCAATGTCACCATCGTCCCTCCTCTCCTCTGACGGAGGAGGAAGAGGAAAGACACACCCCTGCATTGAAGTTTGTGAGTCGCGGTGCAGCGCTGGAACTTGAGTACACCAATCGCTCAGCCCTACAATCTGGCAGGCCTCGACGAGGCTGATCGAAGCCCGTACGGCGAGGTGCCCTTCCCTCGCTGCCGCCGCCGCCGCCGCTGCCGCTGCTGCCGCCGCCGCCGCCGCCGCTGCCGCTGCTGCTGCCGCCGCTGCCGCGGCCGCTGCCGCTGCCACTGCCGCTGCCGAGCCAGCGCCGAGAGGAGGCCCGCCCTGCCACGCTCCGCCGGAGAGCACGCCGCTCGCACGGACCGCCGCCCTCGGCGACCACGGCGCGGCGGCGAGGTCTGCCGCGAGCTGCTCCGGGCGCCGTCGCTGCCGTCGTCGTCGCCGTCGTCGTCGCCGTCGTCGGCATCGTCGCCGTCGTCAGCGCCGTCCCCCCACCGCCGCGGGGGGGGGGGGGCGGGAAGGGGTGGCAGGGGCCACGCGCGCCGGGGTGCCACGGCGGCGGCAGCGCCAGCGGCAGCCAAGACAGCCCTCTCTGCCCCCGCGGGGGGGGGGGGCCTGTCAGGCCCGCGAAGCGCGGCAGCAAGTGCCGCGTCAGAACGAGCAGCATGCTCTTCTGCAGGGCCTGGGAAGCCGAGGGCTCCGGTGTCGTCGTGGTGCGTGCGAGGGAGCACGGACCACTACAAAGGGACATACATGAACATTACATCGATGTGTGTATCTATATATGCATGACGCGTGAGGAAGTACAGACCACTATAGAGGCGCACACGCACACACACACACACACACACACACACACACACGCACACACACACACACACACACACACACTCACTCACAAGCATTGCGAACGGAACCAGAAGACTCCTATTGCATGGGCGCAGTGTTTGGCATTGCTTGGCATTGCTTGGCATTGCTTGGCATTGCTTGGAATTGCTTGGCATTGCTTGGCAGTGCTTGGCATTGCTTGGCATTGTTTGGTATTGCTTGACATTGCTTGGCATTGCTTCGCATTGCTTGGCATTGCTTGGCATTGCTTAGAACGGGCACGGTAAGAATACGAGGCACCAGGGGCGGGAACCTGGGGAACCTGGAGAACCCGAGGAACCAGGGGAACCCAGGGAACGCGCAGAACTTGGGGAAACGGGAACCCGCGGAACCCGGGGAAACCCATGGAACCCAGGGAACCCAAGGAACCTGGGGAATCCGGAGAACCTGGGGAACCCCGGGAAGCCAGGGAACCCGAGGAACCTGGGGAACCTCCGAGCAACGGGCAACGTCAGATCGGAGGCACCGATGGCGAGGAACCTGGAGAACCCGAGGAGCCCGGGGAACCTCGAGGGGCAACGTAGCCTCCCGAGGCACCAACCTTTAACCAAGTGGGAACCCCTCAGGCAAGCTTACTTGGGGGAAAAAGATGCAACTCTCAGGTTCCGACCTCCAGCAATCGAGCCCACCACAATGATGAAGTACGCTCGAGGGCGGGCGGGTGGGTCAACGCAGAACGAAGCTTCCCCCCGGGCCCCGCACCCGAGATGACGCGTTCGCCCCGCCCTCGACCGCCGTCCTGTTGCCTCGAGCTTGCATTCACATTGCTGTCGCTGGCCGTGGCCATGGTGATCTGGTAGCCGTCTCCTATAGGGGCGGCGGTGGCCAGGCTGGCGGCACGGATCCTGAGGCGACCTTGCTGACGTTCAGCTGCCCGAAGAACAAGAAGAGCGCCCCCATCCGAGTCGTCTGGCACTGTGCGCCTGATTGTCTCGCAAAGTCACCAGCCTGTCCCGGTGGAGCCCGCGGCGGCGGAAGCCAGTCCCACGGAAAAGCTTCCCCGTGATGAGGCGGAGCTCCGCGTCAGGCACGGAGGTGCCCTCTTCCACGTGCACGCAACACCGCAGCGCCACTGGCAGCGCAGAGGCGCCCGCGCCTGCGGCGCCCACGGCGCCCGCGGCGCCCCGGCGACCACGGCGCCCGCGGTGCCCGCGACGCAGCTCCGGCGGCGCCTGCAGTGCTGGTCGTACCGACGCCTCCTGCATGTCGACGCGCTTCCCCTGGCGCCCGATGCGCCCGAAGCCAAAAATGCCGACGCCGACTGCCTGCCTGGCCACCGCGGCAGAGGAGCGACGACGGCTCCCGGCCACGCCCACGGCGCCGGCCAACGCGGAAGTGCGAGTGGAGAAAGGGGGGGGGGCCTCCTGACGGTATGCGGCTTCACCCAGAGCAACTTGATCCAAAGACTTGAGCTAGGTGGCCACGGAACACACACACACACACACACACCGCACACACACACACACAGACACACACACGCACGCACGCACGCACGCACGCACGCACGCACGCACGCACATACACACACACACACACACACACACACACACACACACACACACACACACACACACACGCACGCACGCACACACACAAAAAAAACGACAACACCAAAACTACAAACAGACAAACAAACGAACAAACCAATTACTCGACTCGGAGATTCCCATATTTGCATCGCATAATGATGGCAAACTTCGGCAGAAGAAATTGTCCTTTTCAATATCCGAGTGTCAGCGAATCCACGTGGAGAACGGGCCGAGAGATACGCCCACGACTACGATGATCTTAAATAGTTGCTTCCTCCTTCCGTCCTCCCCCTCCTCCTTGTCCTCATCCTCTTCCTCCCCCTTTCGCTATAAACACCTGTCAGGAAAATCCATCTGTGAAGACAGGAACGGGCCCGTTCCAAACCCCCCGGCGCACCCCCTCGGGAGTGCTGAAACCAGCGCCTCGCCTGAGACATCCTCGGAAACTGCTCCGAAAGAGAAGGATGTTGGGCATTGGCAACCAAACAAGCAAACCGCCTGAGACATCCCCCCAATCTGGGCGCGAACGGGCCTGTTTTCTACCCCCTGGCGCCCCCCCTTGGGAGTACTGAAACCAGCGCCTCGCCTGAGACATCCTCGGAAACTGCTCCGAAAGAGAAGGATGTTGGGCAACCAAACAAGCAAAACGCCTGAGACATCCCCCCAATCTGAGCGCGAACGGGCCCGTGATATACCCCCTACCGCCCCCCCCTGGGAGTACTGAAACCAACGCCTCGCCTGAGACATCCTCGGAAACTGCTCCGAAAGAGAAGGATGCTGGGCAACCAAACAGGCAAAGCGCCTGAGACATCCCCCAAATCTGGGCGCGAACGGGCCTGTTTTCTACCCCCTGGCGCCCCCCCTTGGGAGTACTGAAACCAGCGCCTCGCCTGAGACATCCTCAGAAACTGCTCCGAAAGAGAAGGATGTTGGGCACCCAAACAGGCAAATCGCCTGAGGCATCCCCCCAATCTGGGCGCGAACGGGCCTGTGATATACCCCCTGGCGCCCCCCCTTGGAAGTACTGGAACCAGCGCCTCGCCTGAGACAACCTCACACCGTGTGTGTGTGTGTGTGTGAGTCTGAGCGCGGAAGTACCAGGAGTGTGAGTGAGTCTGCATATGAGTGATCCCGAGCATGAGAAACCTGAGTTTCAGGAATCTACAAGCAAGTGCATCTGAGTATGAGTGAGTCTGAATATGAGTGAGTCTACATGTGAGTGAGTCAGAAATGGTGACCTGAGGGTGGGAGTTGTGAGTGTGAGGTGTTCCGCGCGGTCTGAGTAATAACAAGAACCCCATCCTTAGGATGTGGGGAACAAAAACGCCAACGCCTGGGGTGATGCCATGACTTGATGCTGTAGCTCCTTGGCACGTGAAAACAGACAGTTACAGAATTCAACCGTCAGATGAAGTGGCTGACAGATGAACTAAGCCGAAACGAGGCTGCAAGGGGCGAACGGACGCGGCTCGCTAAAAAAAGTCGTCTGTGAGGTCGGACCGTCTCACCAGCGGAGCCTTCCTGGGAATTCGGCCAGCAAAAGTAATCGGTCGCCACGGTGTGCCAGCCGCAAAGTGCGCGCGAACCGCCGGTCGCGCCGCACATGGGCAGCCGGAGGCGGGCCGAGGCATGCGGGCTCCAGACCGCTCGGACCGCGCACGCCGCTGAGCGTCGCGAAACGCACTGCCTCTTCGGGGCGGCGACTCTGGTGCGGCACCCCCTGCCCGCGAGGAGCAGAGCCCGCACCCCGGGGATGGCCTGCCAGCAGGCCCACGCCGGCCGAGGCGTCGGCGACCCGAAGGGTCCACGGGCACGTCCCTCGGGCCGCGCAGGACGGACGGACAACGCACGCCCACTGCTCACCGGGGGCGGACCCGCGCCTGGCGACGAGAGTGACTACCTACCAGACCACCCCAACCCAACCCGAAGACCCGAATTTGAATCGAATTTCGGGTTGGGGGGGGTACGGGTTCCATGTGTTTTTGTCCGTGTTCCCCGACCCCCCCCCCCACTGGAAACCGAGGATAAATTTGGGCCTTCGGGTTGGGTTGGGGTGGTTTGGTGGGTGGTGAGAGAGGCTGCGCTGCAGGTGTGGGCGCGGGCTGTCGGACCCCGAAGCGGGTCCCTGGTCGAGCAGGGGCACCCCTCCGACAGTGCACGCACCCACAGCCCCCGCAGAAGTTCACGCCGACAAACCTGGGGGTCGGATCGGGCATGGATGCCAGGTGCGAGCTCATGCTTGCAGACAGCTGCGGGAAGACGGGTCGGAGTCTCCCAGGGCGCCGCCCCTCTCCAGAAAAAACAAAAAACACGGAACGAGTTGCCAGCCGCATTAGCAGCTGTACAAAGACAATCTGGGGCGCCCCCTCGGTGGACGAGCCACAGGCGCGCCGCCGACGTGCGGGCCCCCGACTGGAACGATGGGTCCACCGTCAGGCCAAGAGAACTTGCCATGGGAAGGAGGGGTTCTCCGAGGGAAAGGGGCCCTGGGCAAGACGACGGCAGGAAGAGGACCGAGAACGGGCAGAGGCAGCTCGGGATCTCCGAGACCCAGCGGGTCTGGGGGACGTGTCAGGCGCAGCGGCCGATCCAGCTCCACGACGCTCGGCAGCGACCTGCATGACCCCGAGGCCTGCCTCACTGGACCACGTGGACTTTCCCTGGAACCCATTTTTGATCGTGCGTCCGTTGTTGACGGCCCTGGGGCCTGGCAGAGGCCCCGGGAAGCCGAGATCGGCGGAAGAAAAACTCGGGGCACCGTTCCCTCAGGACCCCTCTTGCCCCTAGTGATTGAGAAATAAGTCTGCGGCGGCGGATCCCATACTGCAGCCTAGCGGCTGCCGGCGCCGTCACCATGGGCGTCTGCCGCCGGCTGGATGTACGCAGGGTTGGCGGGGTCGTAGTCCTCGTCGATCGCGGGGAGGTCGGCGGCCACCATGGACTCCTCGGCCGACTCGCGCAGCAGCATGCCCTGCGTCTCGTGGACGAGGGAGTTCACGAGGCAGAAGTTCAGGCCCGCCAGCCCGGCGAGCAGGTAGAAGTAGAGCGTGAAGCTGCCGCTGAGGTCCTCCACCGCCTCGAAGATCTCCGGCGACGCGATGGCACCGAGCCGGCCGCCCGCCAGGCAGAAGCTGGTGCCGGTGGTGCGGCAGGCTGTGGGGTAGACCTCCGTGACGTAGAGGTAGGCCACGATGTAGCCGATGCTGGTGAAGAACTTGATGCCGTAGTAGCCCGCGTAGCGCATCGCCGAGGCCAGGGTGCCCTCGCGTTCGGCGGCGAGGGCGAAGGAGAGCAGGGAGACCGTGACGAGAGCCAGGTAGATCTTCATCACCAGCTTCCGGGGCCAGGTGGTCGCGACGACGACGGCGATCAGCAGCCCGACCAGCTCGACGAGGGCGCCCAGGATCAGGCTTGCCGCTGGAGTCGAACCGAGGTCTACATCGGTCATGACATTGGGGAAGGCGTACAGGCAGCCATAGAAGAGAAAGTTCAGCACGAAGCACGAGTACACCATGATGGCGGTAGTGCAGATCATATCCTCGCTGACAAGGAGCCTCCACTGGAACACCTCCTGCTCTGGTTCCGTCTGCTTCCTCCTGACTTTGCTCGTGTCGAACGTGACGTCCAGTTGGTCCAAGAAGTTGTCGCTCGACATTCTCCGGAGGACCTCGCGCGCCTCTTCGTGCCGGCCGTTCAGCGACAGATAGTAGGGAGACTGGTCTACAAAGAGGTAAGCGAGGATGCCGAAGAAGAGTGCTGGCAGCGCCCCCATTGCCAAGAGCCACCTCCAGTGAAGGTTCTGCATCATCGGGTCGTCAATGTCGATCAGGACCGCACTGTACATCTCGCCGATTGAGAAGAGGCAGAAGGACAGGCTGAAGAGGACAATGCGGCCGTTCGAGGGCGTCGTCTCCGCGAGCAGGGCCTGGAAGGCGGGCTGGCCGATCCCCATGCCCACGCCCACCAGGATCCGCAGGCAGCAGAGCATCAGGAAATCAGCTGAGAAGGCGCAGGCGAGGCTGAGCACGAAGACCAGCCAGAAAGAGATCACGACTGGGAACCGCCGCCCGTAGAGGTCGCCGATCGGGCCGCTGGCAAAATTACCGAGCATGACACCGACGTAGACCAAGGAGACCACGAGGCCCTCCTCGAACGACGAGAGGCCCCAGCCCTCGGACACCGCGTCCGTCACCGCGCTGATGAGCAGCAGCTCGGCGCCGTCCGCGAACCAGACGGCGCCCGCGATGCACACCACCTTCAGCTGCGCGGGCCCGAGGCCGATCTGCTCCACCAGCCGCGGCAGGGTGGGCGGCCTCGAGCCCTCGTCCTCCTCCGCTGCGCCGATGCCCATGGCGGAGCACGGCAGAGGCCGAAGGCCGCCCCCGCGGGGGGAGGCCGCGTGCTCGCGGGCGAGCACAGGCGGGGGGCCCCGCGTGGGCCTGGAATGCTGCGGAGCTCCACGGGCGCCGAGAGAGCACGGGCCAGGCTCCCTCCGCGGCGCGATCGCTCGAGCAGGGACCGCGCCGTCCGAGGCCCCTCCCCGTGGGCCTACCACGACATGCTCTCGGAGCCCAAGAAGCGTTCGAAGGGCAAGAACGATGCGCTCAGAGCATATGGCCGACGTGCGGAGACAAAAGACAGCCTCAGCCGGACCTGTTCTTAAGAGCACTCTTCGCGCAGACCACGAGAGGTTCTCAGAACAGTATCTGGTCGGCCTGTAGGCGAGCCAAGACGCTTCGCCACTGCTTGAACCTCCGCAGGTCTGGACCCCGCGCACGCCGCGCGGGGTACGTGCTCGACGTCGGCGGCGCGGGGTCTCCTCGGCGAGCGAGATACACTTGGGGCGTTCCCCATCGAACACCGAAGGAAAACCTAAGGTAGACTGTAGAACAACGAAGGAACACAGAGCCCCTCCCAAACAAACAAGGGTTCCTTCTTCAGCGCCGCGTCTGCACAGTCAAGCCGTATAAGAAGAACGCGCAATGAGAATGCAAGGGCCTTAAAAGACCATTTCGAGGCTTTTCGAGTGGGGCGCGGCCAGCGAGAGTGGCCAAGGATGGGCCGAAGGGGCAAGGATGCAAGGGTACCCTTGAACAGGATGGCCATCCTCATTTTGCGAGTTGTCCGCCCTCCCCAAAACCCTCCCCTGGGAGCGGGGTCCGGTCGGTTTGGAGGAGGGGGGTCTGTCCGGACGTTGCTGGGGGGTGATCTGCTTCAGGAGTGCTCCTGGACGGCCCCACATGTTCTGCAGACGGCCCCAAAGAGTCCCTATATGACCCACGAATGCTTCAAAAGTGCCCAAGATGGCCCCCGGACGGCCTCCAGAAGGCCCAAGAGGCTCCCAGGAAGGCACACGAGGGCTCCAAGAGTACCCCTAAGAGGGCCTCCAGAAGCAGACACATTGTTTGTCTCCTTGCTTGTTCGATATCCTAGCGTTCTCGCTTGATTGGACTTCCGGCAGCCAAGGCGACCCAAGAGGCGTCCACCATGGCCACATGACGATCCAAAGGGTCCCAAGACGGCCCCAAGACGGCCCCAAGACGGCCCCAAGACGGCCCCAGAAGGCCGCAAGATGGAATAAGAGGGCCCCCCGACGGCCCCAACACCGTCCGGCAGGCCCCCACAAGCGCCCAACACCGCAAGAATACCCCGACGGCGCCCGGCGACGACAACGACGGCGCCTGGCGACGACGACGACGACGACGACGACGACGACGACGACCACGACGACGACGACGACGACGACGACGACGACGACGACCACGACGACGACGACGACGACGACGACGACGACAGGCGGCAGCGGCGGCGGTCGCCGCGGGGCGGTGGTGCGCGGCCGAGGGCGGGAGGCTCGCGACGGCGGGGGCGTTCGGGAGGTCCGCGGCCGCGGCGGCCGGAGCGGGCGCCCCCTGCGGGATGCGCGAGCGGGCCGGTCGGCGGCGGGAGGGCGGGCGCCGAGGGCGGGGGGCCGAGGGTGCGGCCAGCGCTGCTGCCACGGGAGGCACACGGGAGGCCCGGAGTAGGAGGTCGACCCTGCCAGATCAAAGGGGCCCTCGTGTCCCGTGTCTCGCGGCCCATGCCTCTCCTCCTCCTCCTCCTCCTCCTCCTCCTCCTCCCTTCTCCTCCGCCTCCGCCTCCTCCTCCTCCTCCACCTATTAGTCCTTGTATTCCTCCTCCTCCTCCTCCTCCTCCTCCTCCTCCTCCTCCTCCTCCTCCTCCTCCTCATCATCATCATCATCCTCCTCCTCTTGCCTCCTGCACTCCTGTGGCAACGTGGCCCTCGGAAGGGTCTCGCGTGTCCTCTCGCGCGTCCTCTCCGGTCAGGACCGACTGCAGAGGAGGAGGAGCGGGAGGCCTCCTCTGGCCACGGCGAGCCTCGGCCACGAAGGGGACCCACGGCCTCGAGGCCAAGGAGCGGCCCGCAGGCCAGAGGTCCCCCCTGGGCCCAGAGGGGTCCTTGCGTCCGCGCCCTGACTGCAGAGGGCCAAGGATGGAGCATCGAGGACCGAGGGGCGAGGACCAGGGTCATGAGGCCGAGGCGCGAGGACCGAGGATCGGGGGAGGGGCGCAGGAGGGATCGAGGCTCGCGGATGCCAGATCGAATGCCCAGACTTCTGGTGAAGCTCTTGGCTCCTCGGGCCCCCAGGGGGCCTCCCGGAGCCCGCGGGGGACGCCAGGCGCCTCTGCTCCCTCCCTGTTCCTTCCCTGCTCCCTCTGGAGACCTCTGGACTCTGCTGCTCCCTCCCTGCTCCCTCTCTCCATTCTTCTCCCTCCCTCACTCAACCCTTTCCCCCTCTCACCACCACCCCCTTGGGAGCAGGGATCGCAGGTAGGGAAGATGGGGCGAGTGAGGAGGAGGGGAAGGCGATAAAAAGAGAGAGTCAGAGAGGGGGCGAGAGGGGCGAGGGAGAGGGAGAGGGAGAGAGCACAACACTTCGGACAGCAGGTCTGTCCAGGCCCCGAGGCTGCAAGCGCCCCGCCGGCCTACCTCACAAGGCGGGGGGCACCGCTCACGAAACAGGGGTGGTGGGACGACCCCCCCCCGGCGCGGCTTGCAGGGGGCTCCGGCTGGGAAGCAAAGCGAGCATGCGGTAATCGGGCCGTTCAGGGGCCCGTCTGCGCAACCGTGACAATGGCGCCGCATGTATGCACGCGCGCTGGCATGCGCGACGCGGAGCTTGGGGACAAAGGGGATCGGCAACTCCTTGGGGCATCCCCCGCAGCGACTCAATGAGAACAAGCGACGGAGCAGGTGCCGTTTGTTCACGCAACCCCACGGGGGGGAGGGGTGCCAGCACTGGCGTGCCGCACGTTGAGTGTCGATAAAGGCTCGGAGGTTGCCGTGAAGGGAGGCCCCCAGGGCCACTGCCTGCCGAGACGCCTGCTGCAGGCCGCTCCAGGCCTCGTGCAGTCGCTGGACCCTGTCGGGCAGCGGGGCTGACTGCTCACAGCGGGGCAAGGGGAAGCGCCAGCTGGCTGGTTCGCTGATGGAGCGCGCGAAGACTGGCGAGGATAACGGTTTCACGGCCACCCTTGTACTGACTGCTCGCCGCAGTGAGATGTCGCGTGAGGGCTTGCTCCATGCGTTGGGTGGTGCCGCTGGCATGGTGGCCGTCATTCCTAGCCTCTCGCCCATCCCCGGCAGCAAGATCCCATGATCACCATGGGAAAATGATGTGGCCAGACGTTGCGGCGTCTTCCCTGATCCACGTCACTCCGCTGGTCTGCCGTGGAACAAGAGCTTCGAGCAGGCGAATTACGCGCACAGCGGGGTCGCATTCGCGCAGATCGCCCCGGGGGCCTTTCCAGTAAGCTTGTCGCACCGCATCTGGCGGGTGCATCTCTGGCCCATCCCCTGTCGTTGACAAGGTTGAGCAGGTGCGCTGGGGCTTGGGCGACACATTGGTCACGTCTGGCGGACCTCGGCGGCGTGTCGCGGGGGGGGGGGGACAGACCAGTGACGATCGACTCGCGTCGATACCGATTCCTCCTGGCCGCGGCGTCGGGCGTGCGCCCCGGCGTCGAACTCCGACCGCCTCCAGCGCACTGGGCGGTGTGGTTGGGCGGTCGGTCGGTTGTCCCGATCACCCTCTCCGGTCTGCTGGCAGTGCCCTGCCGGTGCCTCTGCGGTCGTGGCGCGAGCCGTGGCTGCGGCTGCGGCTGCGCGGTCGCCCGTGCGGCCCTGCCAGGGCTCTCCTGCATGGGGGCCGCACGAGGCTGTGCGTGGCGTTGCTCGTGGCCACGGTCAGCGCAGCCTCGGGTGGTTTTTGCTGGACGAAGTGGGGTTGCAGCTCGGCTGTGGGAGCACTGGCTCTAGTGAGCGTGCTGTCCCATGTCCCTCCTCCGCAGCATCGACGGGCCCGGGCGTCCATTGGGCCGTGGTTCAGACACCATTCTCCAGTGCGGACACTCGTGTAGCCGCTACCGCGTAGCAAGATGACGCCCATGCTGAAGAGCTCGAATCGCCAGTGCGTAGTGACGAAGTCCTTGGACCAACACCCTTCTGGGGCCATAGCTGAGGTAGCCATATGGGCGAATGTGGCCACTTGATCGAAGATGTGGCGCGCGTATGTCCTGACGATGGTCACACCCGCGGTCGTACCAGTGGGCTTCCTACTGCGCTCTGGCCAGAATCATCGTCGGTAGGCACACCCCATGAAACAACGCATATACTGTTAGGTCGGGCATATCCTACGGGAGGAAAAACAAAACATTATTAAAAAACATAAAACAGCATTTTTATGGTAAACAAGAAATCGTCCCCGGACTATGTTTTGACTATCTGTGAATTTTCCTCCTGTAGAGGGACCTGCACGACTTACATAGACTGGCCACAATGAGGAGTTAGACGCCGTTGGGCGGCCCGCCTATACGGGGCAGCTGCCCCCGCAGGGTGCCTGCCCAGCGCTGGGGCAATCACGACTGTCCCGAAGCGACGTACCCTCTCCAGAGGAGTCGGTGTAGAACGAGCCACGTTCCAGTGACTCCTCCTCCTCCTCCTCGTCCTCCTCCTCCTCGTCCTCCTCCTCCTCGTCCGTCTCCTCCTCCTCCTCCTCCTCCTCCTCCTCCTCCTCCTCCTCCTCCTCCTCCTCCCCCTCCTCCTCCTCTTAAGAGAAACCAGAAAAGTCATGAACGTAAGCGTTTGACGGTCCGCGCGGCTTTCTTGAATTCGAGCTGGGCCTCCCTCCCTGGGGCGCGGAGCGCCAGGGGCGGCGCCGGAGGCGCCGCCAGGGGGGTCCCAGGCGCAGATCCAAGAAATCCGCGCGAAGCACCCCGAGGTTCTGTTCATGTCGTGTTTTGTTTTTGAACTCTGCGGCCGTTGATCACGCTGCTGCGGACGACCTCGCTGCTCTTGTTGGATGTATTCTTGCATGTGGAAATGGGCGGTCGCGGTGGCCTGCCCGTGGAAATGCCGGACGCACGCGACCACGTAGGCTCCACGGCCTGGGCAGGAGAGCCTAGCGGAGGCTCGTCGCTCGTGGGCTCTGGTCAACTGTGTGCTTGCCCGGCCGCGGGGCAGAGCTCGTAGGCTTCCCTTTGGCGGAGGAAGTCGGTGGGCTCACCACCTGCCTGTGAGTGCCCGATCGGCGCATTGAAGACAGGGTGCCGCAGGTCTTCCACAGCGCGGTCGGTGCAGACCTCCGTCCCTTCTTGGGAGGCGCCACTTTCATCCCCGGGGTGACCGCAGCGCAGCCGTATGGTGCATGCGATCCGGTAGGTGCTGTCGACGCTGGCCGGCCGCTCTCTGCCTCATGCAGCTCCGACGCTGGAGAGAGAGAGAGAGAGGGAGGGGGGGGAGGGGGGGGGGGGGAGGGGGGAGGGGGGGGAGGGAGGGAGAGAGGGAGGGAGAGGGAGGCAGGCTCCGACGCTGGGAGAGAGGGAGGGGAGGAAGGGGGGGGGGGGGGGGGGGGGGGGGGGAAACGAGGAGGAGAGCGGAGCAGGACTGAGCAGGACGGAAGAGGAGGGCGGAGGAAAACGGAGGAGGACGGAGGAGGCTGGAGGGGGGGCGGAAGAGGAGGAGGCGGAGGCGGAGGCGGCGGAGGAGGGAGGGAGGAGGACGGAGGAGGACGGAGGGACGGAGAGGAGGTGTCAGGACATGGGAGGGAGAGGCGTGGCGAGGCGAGGGCGCCGCCTCCACCTTCTGGCGCTTCTGGGCGGGCTCGCCGCCGTCGCCGGCGCCGGCCGCCGCCTGAGGAGGCCGAGGGGAGAGGCGCCCCGAGTGGCCCGCAGTCGGCAGCAGAACGCAGCCAGAGCTTCCCCAGAGTCGAGCGGGCCGACACCGAGAGGAGCAAGCAGGTTCTCTGAAACCGCGCGTGCTCCCCCTTCCCTCCTGCTCATCACTCCTCCTCGCTGATCCTTGTGGAGAGCTCCTCCCTGGCACACCCCGAGGCTAGTCGGAAAGGCGGGCCCGGGGGTTCGCCTGAGACTTCCTTAGCATTTAAGAGCCTCAGGCAAAAAACGGGCAACAGTTTCACAAATGGAGGGCGGATCGCTTCCAAAATGTGGCTCTCGCCTTAGCGCCGCACCCATTCGTTTCAATTGAACCCAGCGCGACCCCAATTAGGGGAAAGCTTCCCATTGCATGGGCCCAGTGCTTGGCATTGCTTGGAATTGCTTGGCATTGCTTGGCGTTGCTTGGCGTTGCTTGGAACGGGCCGCGGGGAACCCAGGAAACCCGGGGAACCCAGGAAACCCAGGGAACCTGGGGAACCTGAGGAACCCGAGGAAGCCGACGAACCCGAGGAGAAGAACCAGAGGAACCCGAGAAGCCCGAGGATCCTCCGAGCAACGGGCAACGTAAGAATACGAGGCACCAATTCTTAACTAAGTCAGAACCCCTAGGCAAGCCTAATTAGGAAAAATCGCAATCGAATCATGGATTGAGGACAGGTCTTTTTCAAGACTTGCAAGAGCTTCACGGATTGAGGACAGGTGGTTTTTTAAATGTGGCTCTCGCCATAGCGCCGCGAATATTCGGTCTAAAGCTGTGCAACCTTTTCACGGATTTGGGGCGGCTCGGTTTCAAAATGTGACTCTCGCCTACGCGCAGCGCACACTCTTGTTTAAAAGCTGGCAAGAGTTTCACTAATTCTCATGGTTAACTTACCAGATTTCGTGTTTCGAACGATTCAGGATTGTCAGGGCACAACAGCTACGTTGATTCGCAGTGTTGAAATAGCAGGAATGGTGTTATGGCACGATTCAGGGTCGTCGAGACGCAACAGTCAGGTTAACTGGTGGTGCTGAATTCCTGAGAATGGTGTTTTGGCACGCTTCTGAATTTTCACACGGTTGTCCCCCAACGGGGCACTCCCCTCTGGGGAAAAGATTCCCAGTAGGGGACTATGAAGAGGGAGCTTGGAGGGAGGGAGTATTCCAACATCGTTGATGAGTCTTGGGTCTACACTGGTCCTCCTCCTCCTCCTCCTCCTCCTCCTCCTCCTCCTCCCCCTCCTCCTCCTGCTCCTCCTCCTCAAACAGTTGCGGTGCCAACGCCGCGGACTGTCGAAGAGTGGGGGAACTGGGGCTGCCCAGTGCGTGGGGCGGTGCATCATCCTGTCGCTCCTCCTCCTCCTCCTCCGCCTCCTCCTCCCTCCTCCTCCTCCTCCTCCTCCTCCCTCCTCCTCCACAATTACTCAATATGAATATACTCTCCCTCTTCCCCTGATGGCGTCCGGGTGATGGCCGCGCACCCTCCGCGTACTGTTTTTTACACACAGGATGCCCGGGAAATCCCGGGAAACGACTCTCGCTGAGGCGCCGGCGTCATTTTTTCCCAAAATGCTGCTCTCGTTGAGGCGCCGGCCTCATTTCTGCTCCCGAATCGTTCCGAATCGTGCTCCCGCTGCAGCGTGGGCCTCATTTTCGGATCGGTGTTTGGCCTCCGTCGTTCAGGATGGCGTTCTCGCCCCAGCGCGGGCCTTTTCTCGCGCGCCCATCCGCCCGCCACCACCGCGCCGCACCGCCACCGCCACCACCACCACCACCACCACCACCACCAACACCAGCACCAGCCAAACACCACCACCAGCACCACACCACCACCACCACCAGCACCAGCACCACACCACACCACACCACACCACACCACACCACTACCACACCACCACCACCACCACGCACACACGCACGCACGCACGCACGCACGCACGCGCACCACCACCCACTACGCACGCGCGCGCGGAGCCACAGGTCCGCTACGACACGCGTCCGCGGATAGAGAAAATCAGCGCCATGGTAAGGGATGGGAGGGAGGGGTAGGACGTCAGATATGACGCGAGCGCACCTAGCTTGTCCTCACCTCCTCCTCCTCCTCCTCCTCTCCTCCTCCCCTCCTCCTCCTCCTCTCCTCCTCCTCCTCTTTCCTCTTCCTCCTCCTCCTCATCTTCCTCCTCCTCCTCCTCCTCCTCGTTCTCCTCCTCCTCATCATACTCCTCCTTCTCCTCCTCCTCCTCATCCGCCGTATTCATCCACCCTGGTCCACCCTCTCGTCTTCGCTGTTCCTCCTTACTATCCTTATCTACCTTCTTCTCCTGCTCGTCCGCCTCCTCCTCATCCTCCTCATCCTCCTTCTCCTCCGTCTCCTCCTTCTCCTCCTCCTCGTTCCTCATCCTCATCCCCCTGTGTTGTCGTTATTCCCCTGTTCCTCATCATCATCCTCCTGACCAAAATCCTAGCATAACCTCACCATCATCATCATCATCATCATCATCATCATCATCATCATCATCATCATCATCATCATCATCATCATCATCATCAGCATCAGCATCAGCATCAGCATCAGCATCAGCAGCATCATCATCATCATCATCATCATCATCATCAGCATCAGCATCAGCATCAGCATCATCAGTATCATCATCATCATCATCATCATCATCATCATCATCATCATCATCATCATAATCATCATCAGCATCATCATCATCATCATCAGCATCATCATCGTCATCGTCATCATCATCATCAGCATCTGCATCATCCTCGTCATCATCAGCATCATCATCAGCAGCATCAGCATCATCATCATCATCATCAGCATCATCATCAACAACATCAGAATCATCATCATCATCATCATCATCATCATCATCAGGAGCGTGAGCAGCAGCATCATCATCAGCAGCATCAACATAGTCATCAGCAGCATCAGCATCAGCATCAACATCAGCATCATCATCAGCAGCATCAGCAGCATCATTAGAATCATCACCATCGGCATCATCATCATCAGCATCATCATCATCATCATCATCATCATCAGAATCATCATCATCAGCATCATCATCATCAGCAGCAGCATCATCATCACCGTCGTCATCAGCATCATCAGCATCATTATCAGCAGCATCAGCATCATCCTCGTCATCACCAGCATCATCAACAACATCATCAGTGTCATAATCATCAGCAGCAGCAGCAGCAGCCTCACCATCATCAGCAGCAGCAGGATCATCATAATCATCAGCAGAAGCATCATCGTAACATCGTCGTGGCATCATCATCACCATAACCATCAGCAGCATCGTCACCATCACCATTACCACCATCATCAGCAGCAGCATCATCATGGTGCTGATCCTCATCATCATAATCATCCTCATCCTCATCCTCATCATGACTAGCAGCATTAGTATCATCAGCATTTTCATCAACCGCATCATTATCATCATTATCATCATCAGCAGCAGCATCATCATCATCATAAGTAGCATCATCAGCATCATCAGCATCATCATCATCATCATCATCATCACCATCAGTCCTCGTCCTAGTCCTCGTCATTGTCCTCGTCTTGGTCCCCATCCTCATCATCATCCTCATCCTCATTCTTCCTCATCCAACTTCCTCCACTACACTCCTTCCTCCTTCGACGAGGACGACGACGCGCCTGTGGAAGTATTCACGGATCTCTCGAGATCCCTGAAATGCCCCGGCGGCCTCTAGAGGCCGCCAGAAAGCGGAGGTCCAGAAGCCTCCAAGAATCTCGACCCCAGAACCCCGTTCCTCGATCCCCGATCGTTCCTCGCTGCGGCGGCGACGACGACGGCGACCGACGGCGACCAAGACCCGATCAGATTGGTTGGCCAGATTTTCAGACTGTCCAGCCCCGCGGCGACGAAAACCTCTAGAAGCGCCAAAAAAACTTCAAAAAGACGACGACGACGACGACGACGACGACGACGACGACGACGACGACGACGACGACGACGACGAAGACGACAAAACCTCGATCCCAGATCGATCCTCGACGCGGCGGCGACGGTAACGACAATGGCGACGGCAACGACGACGAAAACAACGACGTCCAGCGGCCTCCCGAGTTCTCTAAAGTCCCCCGAAGGGCTCCGGATGCCCTTGGAGGCCAGTTGAGGGCCCGAGGCGATCCAAACGAGTCCAGTAACGGGCCCTCGACCTCCGATCCTCGACCTCGACCTCGATCGACCTCGATCGACCCTCGACCTCGACCTCGACCTCGACCCTCGACCTCGATCGATCCTCGTGGCGACGGCGGCGACGACGGCGACAGCAACGCGACGGCGACGGCGACGTCCGCGAGGACGACCGCGCCGCTGGGCGCGCCCCCTCGCCGGCCTGCCCCCGGCCCGCCAGCAGCTGCTGCACGGCCAGCTGCCGGTCCAGGGCGGCCTCTCGTCGTCGCCGCCGCCGTCGCGGGGACTCGGTGTGAAGCCCGCGCTCGTGCGGGAGCCACGCTTTCGATGAGAATGTGGCCGGCGTCGAGGCGAGAGCGCCGTGAGCGGTTGCCACAGATCACACAGTCCACTCTTCTCTAGAAGACGAGCGATGGCGACGACGACAACGACGAATGACGAGCGACGGCGACGACGACGACGACGACGACGACGATGATAGACGATAAACGAAAGGCGATAAACGATAGACAAGCGATGGCGACCACGACCACGACGACGACGACAGACGATAGACGATGGACGAACGGCGACGGCGGCGGCGGCCTGCGGGAGGGCTGGCAACGGGCGCAGCAGCAGGGCACCGAGGGCGGGCACCCTGGCGAAGACGCTTTCCTGCCCCCCGGCGGTCGCCGCCACCGCTGTTTTCGTCGCCGCCGCCGCAGAAGCCGTCGTCGTCGACGGCGGCGTCAGCGTCGCCGTCGTCGTTCCCTCTCCCCACCCCCAATCTCCTTCTTCCTCCTCTCCCTCTCGCCCCCGCCCCCGCCCCCCCCCCGCGCGCGCGCGCTCGCGGAGAGGAGGAGGAGGAGGAGGAGGAGAAGGAGGAGGAGGAGCTACTGAGCTACTACTGCATTGAGACGATGCCTCTCGATCCACACCGCTGGGTGGGAGAGGCCCATCGAAGAGATTTCAGCTATGACGCTGGTGGCGACAACCACCGCCCTGCCAGGACAGCGACCCCCCAGACTCCACCAGTCAAAACGATCCCGAGAAATTAATCAGAGCCCGAATCGGCTCCACCAGACGCCTCGACAGGAGCAGCATGCTTGAACTCTGCTCTCCTGCAGGCGATAACGACTGATCAAGTCACAGTCACAGGGTTTTCGGGATCTGAACATGAATTGGCCGTGTCCGACGTCAAAAGAACCATGGGCGCATCTTCGGGCCGCGACTCGGGAACAGGCGAGCCCAAAATCGGCAATCGATCCACTCCCAAGCTGACACCAGCTGGTTAGCAGCACGCACGGCTTTCTCGGCCACACTTTGGTGGGCCGCCGCTGGAACAGCTCGTGACGGGCCAAGTCGTGAAGGATGTAATCCACGGCTTTCGAGTGGGGGCAGGGGCCGCCTAGCTTTAGAAGTTGGTGAGTGGCAGTGTGCCCACGCTTGATACAACAAAAAGCAACTTGGGAACCTCAGCAAGCAGATGCGAAGAGTAAACCAGTCTACACTTGATCGACCGAGTGCGCCGAATTCGGAACACGTCCCCGACACCCCAGAACTCGCGGAAGGTGCCGACCAGAACCCACTCAGTCTGCGCGGCCTCGACAACTTGTCCGACGCCCACCAGCCAATCCCATTGACGACAGCACACCTTCCCCATTCACCGGCTGGGCGAAACAGTGCGCGGAGGGGGCGAGGGCAGCCAGGAGACGAGGGGCAGCCGCGGCCCGTCCTCTGGCCGGCCAGAGCGCCCCTGGGCGGTGCCGAGGCCGCGCTGTGCTGCCGCGCCTGCGAAGTTATAGATACATATCTATACATAAATATAACATCGATTTCTAATTATACACATCTATATATATACATATATATATATATATATATATATATATCCACCTGGCGGCTGCCAGCAGCAAGAAACAGCTGGTAGTCTGAGAGTCTCTCTAAGAGTCTGATGCAAAAAAGCTCTGGCTACGGTCGCTAAGTTCGCTCCGCCCTGTCGATCGCGGAGCAGCTGGCTGACTCGAAGCGAAAAGGGCCAATTCTGATTATGATCTCTGGCGAATCCTGACCTCTGGGCCGGGCCAGCTTGCCAACCGCTCTGGATCGCCAGATGGTCGGTGCCAATGGTTCACTGGCCTTCAGAAGATCAGAGAGCAACGCATAAAAGAGTGCGGCTGCCTCCTGGAGGCGTTTGCCGAGCGCCACGGGGAGGAGCGCGGAGGCCCGAGAAGAGGGCCCAGGAGGAGGACTCGGCGCACCCCTCGAGCGAGGCGACTCCAGAGCCTGCTCTTCTCCTGCGGACGCAGTGGGAGCGAACACCTTCAGAACCGTCGCCAAACAGGGCTTACTCTCCCCAGGGATCCCCTGCGGGCTCCCCGCCTGGAAGTCCTTGCGGAGTGCTTCCCTGGACGACCCACCCTTCCCTCCGAGCTCGGGCTCGAGGGCGGGGGTGGCGAGGGCGACAGGCGGGAGCCCTCGAGGCCTCCGAGCGGGGTTGGCGCCTGCTCCAGCCAGGGCACGCGGCGCGAAGTGGCTGCTGACCTCGAGCTCCTCTCCACGGCGCAGTGGCCAGCACACGGCCGGATCCCGCGGACGAGCGTCTCGGGAGCAGCCCGGTCACACCTGCCGCAGGGGCGCGAGACGTCGCATCGTGCACTGTGCAGGACTTGTCGTGGCCACTGTCCTCCGCTGGCGACTGTGTTGTTGAGCGCACAGTCTCTGAGTGTGCCTCTCGCGAGACGCACCTGCGCTGTTCAGCGCGCAGCATCACAACACCTGAACCAAGTACCCAAGGCGTCGTCACGCTCGTGTTTGGTGGATTCCCGTTGCCACTGCGACCAGTGTAGATCGTCAGAGAGATCCTGGAGAACCGAACGAGTGCCCGAATCGAGAAGGCCGGGGTCGTCAGCGCGAGGGGGCTGCCACGCCCTCGATGTATTCACATTTGACCCGACGCCACATGCCTGCTTCTGCTGGCTCCCACCGTGCCTCCAAGAGCGTGGCGATGGTAGATCCCAGGGGGCCTGCCACCCTGGCCCAGATCATAAGCCGTGCCGCCAGAAGGATCGGTATGTGCGTCTTGCACGCCCGGGACTTCCGATGATGGTATGCTGGATTACGCACCCAATGCTACGACCAAGCCTCCACCGGCTCCACTCGTAATGCCGTTGAATGCAGCACAAAGGACCAAGAAGAGGGTTAAGCATCTGCCTGCAGCACCGCCCGTTGCCGCTGCAGCCAGCCCATGCACCTGGTGTCCAGAAATACCCTCAGGAAGCTTACGTGCTTGCCGGAGTCCAAGACATCACGAAAGCGAGCGGTGGTCGTCCTGACACGCTTCCTGACCGTTGCGTATGTGCAAGGTGTTCCCGCTGCAACGCCTCCTAAATCGACCACTGTGGTTGCTGCTTGGACGAGTAGTCCAATAGTTCGTAGCTTCGTTTTCATCCCTGGCCGAAGAATAAACGAGTTAGCGACCACATTTGTCTTGTCCGAAACTGCAAGTTAGGAGGAGGAAGAGGAGGAGGAGGAGGAGGAAGAGAAGGGAGAGGATGAGGAGAGGGAGGCGGAGGATGAGGAGGAGGAGGAGGAGGACGACGACGACAACGACGACGACGAAGCTGGAGGGTGAGAAGGATGCACGCAGAGGGGAAGCGGGGAGGTGGAAAGAAGAAGAGGGGAAGAGGAGGAGAGTGAAACGGGGAGGGGGCCGGGGAGGAGGACCCAGAGGGGGGGGGGAGGAGTAGCAGGGGAGGGGAGGAGGAGGAGGAGGAGGAGGAGGAGGAGGAGGAGAAGGAGGAGGAGGAGCAGGAGGGGGGGAGGAGGGAGAAGACAGGCGGAGGAGCAAGAAGAGGAAGAAGAGGAGAAGCGCGAGCTGCCCCCCTCTGCCGCAACAGTCACGGAGGACAAATACACCCCGACTCCCTCGAAAGCACCGAAGGTTGACCCCCCAAGCGGCATTGCATTCTTCCTCCTCCTCCTCCTCCTCGTCCTCCTCCTC